TTGCAGAGAGGTTGCTATGACAACTCTTAGGGATTATATCTGGGTGAGACTGATGGTTACTTTCTCTTCTGGTGGCATGTGTAATACCTTCCAGCATTATGAATGTTAATCAAGAGAGTTGGAAGTTCTAGTGGAGCACGAGCTTGATTTCTCCATGTTTGAGGCAATAAATATGTGCTGTCTTTAGTACTACTGTATTACAGTCAGACTGTGGAAGGTAGCCAATATTATTGGCAATAGTTTGAAATGTTTGGGGTGGTCTATGCAGCTGCTTTGGACAATGACTCAAAGAGATATAATCGAGTCCTTGTTATGGGTTTTACTTAGTACCATATGATATCCTGTTGGGACATTGTCTCTCCCATTATGTGATAACTTCATTTATATATGTATATGTTTTAGGAAACTTCCACAGGAGTGGGTTTTGTGGCTTTTCAAGAGACTTTTAGTATCAGTTGTCCCTTCCCCTATTTCTTCCTCTACTCTACCCACCTATCTCCCTCCCATGTAATCCTCCTATTCTAATTTCCCCTTTATTGCTTTATAACAACACATTTATTTTCCCATCCCTGGTTGTTGGAAGACCACCTCCTCCTCCACTCTAGTCCCTTACTAGCTGTTTAATCTTTGTGGTTATTCTGATTGAAACAGATACATCTAAAGCTTAAAAGCTGGCATCCACATATAAGATAAAACATGTAATATTTGTCTTTCTGAGTCTTCGTTACCTCACTTGGGATGATTGTTTCTTGTTCATCCACTTACCTGCAAATTTCATAATTTCATTTTTCTTAACAGCCGAATAATATTTCATTGTATAAACATACTACATTTATATTATCCATTCATCAGTTGATGGACATCTAGGTTATTCTCAATTTTGGGCTTTTATGAATAGAGCAGCAATGAACATGAATGAGCAAGTATCTTTGTAGTAAAATATAGAGTCCTTTGTGTATATGCCCAAGAGCGGTAGAGCTATATCTTGAGGTAGATCAATTTTCAGCTTTTGGAAGAACTGCCATACTGATTTCCATAGTGGCTGTACAAGTTTTCATTCCTCCCAGCAGTAAATAACTGTTGCCCTTTTTCTCTCCCCTTGCCAGCAACTGCTGCCATTTGTTTTATTTATCTTGGCCATCTCGACTGGGGTGAGAGGAAATTTCAAAATAGTTTCTCACTTATTTGTGTTTCATCTTTTGAGAACTCTCTATTTCTATATCCCGTGTTTTAATTGGATTATTTGTTTTATTAATGCTGAGTTTTTTAGTTCTTTGTATATTCCAGACACTAATCCTCTATAAGGTGAATAATCAATAAAGTCTCTCCCATTCTCTAGCTGCTGCTTTACCAAATGATGCTGCCTACTGCACAGAAATGTTTTAACTTCATGAAGCCCCATTTATGAACTATTGGCCTTAAAGCCTGTGCTACCAGGATCCTGTTCAGAAAGTTCTTTCCTGTGCCAATGAGTTCAAGCCTGTTCCCCACTTCCTCTTCTATCATATTCAGTATATTTGGTCTTGGGCTGAGGTTTTTCATCCATTTGGAGTTGAGTTTTGTGAAGGGCAATAGATAGGGACTTATTTTCATTCTTCCGCATGCAGTTATATATCTTGTTTAACCAGTACCATTTGTTGAAGATGTTGTCTTTTCTCCAGTGTGTATTTTTGGATTCTTTGTAAACATAAATAAATAGATAGATAGATAAATAAATAAATAATAAGGTTTTTGTGGATGTGAGGAGTTATGTATGCATCCTAAATTCTATCCCATTGATTAATGTCCCCTAGTGGAATAGAAACAGTAATTAAAAATCTCCCAATTGCATTCCCACCAGCAATGGATAAGTATACCCCTTTCTCCACAACCTCTCCACACACTGAGACAATGGAGATGCTCTATCGGGAACTCACCAAGGCCAGCTGACCTGGGTCTGAAAAAGCCTGGGATAAAACCGGTCTCACTGAACATAGCGGACAATGAGGACTACTGAGACATCAAGAACAATGGCAATGGGTTTTTGATCCTATTGCATGTATTGGCTTTGTGGGAGCCTAGGCTGTTTGGATGCTCACCTTACGAGACCTGGACGGAGGAGGGTTTTCCTTGGACTTCCCACGGGACGGAGAGCCCTGATTGCTCTTTGGGCTGACGAGGGAGGGGGACTTGATTGGGGGGGGGGGGGGGGGAAAGGGGAGGCGGAGGTGGGGAAGAGACAGAAATATTTAATAAATAAATAAATAAAAATAATAAAAAAAATCTCCCAATTGAAAAAAGCCCAAAGCCAGATGGATTCAGTGCCAAATTCTACCAGGCCTTCAATGAAAAACCTAAGACCAATACTCCTCAAATTATTCCACGACACAGAAATGGAAGGAAGCTTTCTGCATAATGTTTCCATCATGGTCATACAGTAACAGATAAGCCAGGCTTTGAAGAGAGAGCAATGAGACCACGCAGCGTTCTTGTGGGCAGGGCTGCGAGGATAAGGGAAACAGCCAGCACTCTTCTGCACAGACGGAAGTGAGAAAGGATGGTCTTCTGGGGCTCAGTGACAGGCAGAGTCATAGAGGAAGGGCTGCCCTACTGAATGACGTGGCTCCAGAGCTATAGCCTCCCTATGACACAGGACAGGTATACTTGGAATGAAAGAATACCCTGACATGCCCATTTCCCATCCTCGGCCTGATACACTTAAACACTCCCTGAAGGCGAAGGCAAGGGAAGCCAGCAGGCAGAACCACCAAGCCCAGAATAGGAAGAGAATAAGCGTGGAAACAGGACAGAGATTGGCCATTGATAAATGGCATGCCAGACTTTTGATACATAACAATGAATAATAGGAGAGCAAGATAAGAGCCACCATTCAATAAACACCTCTGGGGGCTGCTGGAACTACAATTCCTTTGATGCCACTGTGCTCCAGAGCCCTCATTACTACCGTATAGTATTTCAGACTGTCCGCGATCATGTAGCCTCTGACCTGTGTCCTGCTGCGTCTGGGCCTTTCTCCAGCCTCAGCTAACCGCTCGGGATTTCCAACAAGAGTATAAGCAGAGTATAGGTTTCATTTCATTCAAGCACAGTATAAATGGGAACGGAGAGGAGCAGGGGCTGTTCTGAACAGAGTTAGGACATTATCAAAGACAGCTAAAATAATTCGCAGAACGTAAAAACCGCAGTCTAGAATATTGAAGAGTTTTTTTAAATGAAGATGCAATGTCACTGTACCTTATGGGAAGAAAATCTGGTGCCTTACTTCCAGGAAGCCTGCCCCAGACATCTGTGTCACACGCTGTGGGTTCGCCAGACACCTCATTACCAAACGTCTTGTGGATGAACGTCTTTTGCTCAAATAGCTTTCATCATATCGCGGGCTTTGATTGCAAACACAGTTCAGCTGCCCAATCAAAGCAGCAATGTTGACAAAAGTAGTGACTGTGTGCGTGAGGGTTTCAGAGTTACGAAGACACTGGGGGCCACCGCGGGTCTCCTGCCAGTCACTCCCTTCTCTGCTTGTTGAGGTAGCATGAAGAACATTAAGCGCCAGCTTCCTCAAGGAACGATTTCTAGAAGTCTGGCATTCGGAAGCTTAGAAATTATTTGAAAGTCTTTTTGGCTGGTTCCAGTGACCAGTTGGCTTTTGCCTGGAATTGTGAGAGCAAATTGGACAATAATGATGAATTTGTGTCCAAAGGGAAAATCCAGTTTGGGGGAGGGGGTGTTTTGTTTTTGCATGTGTGTGATCCATGTGGACGTGTGTATGTGTGTTTGTGTGTGTGGCAATTGTTCGTGTGCAGATGCACGTCCATGTGCATGCAGAGGCCGGAGACTGATGCCTAGTGTCCTCCTCCCTCTATCTGCATCTTACATAGTAAGGCAACGTCATCCACTTGAAGCCAGAATTCAAGCGAGCCTAACCAATCTAGCTAGAGTTGGCTGGTGTTGACAGCCAGCTCGTCACAGGGATCGTCTTCACCTCCCATGTTTGCTGGGTTCATAGGCGGGCCACACCTCACCAGCATTTACATGGCTGCTGGAGATCTGAAACCCAGTCTCACAGTCACCCATCAGGGGCTTTACCCACTGAGCAATCTTCCCAGCCGGCGAACCCAGGTTTAAAAATCAGCTTCTAGCATATTCAGGCCTGTTTTTTATTGAAACATTGAAAAGAGTTTCTTCTGATCTGAGATCTGCATCTCCTTCAGTTACCTGTGCTCTGTCCTTTAAACCCTGGCCAATCAAGAACTAGAGTCTGGAATTTCATACACAAGCCTGGAGTCAGAAATACTAGCAGGGCTAAGGTTGGGGCTGGGACACCTGGAGGGGACATGGCAGGGGACGAAAGGCTTCACCCTGCATTCCCGTGAGCAGTCAGTCCATTTCTCACTCTAAAAAGCTTTTTCTTGCCAAAACATTTTTGACTCCCTGAGGGCGAGTTCAACCTAAGCTCCAAGTAAAAGTGGTTGAATCTAACTCGACCAAGGCCATGTCAGCATTTATTGATAAATCCCATCTAGGACCTCAACATCAAACTCCTTACAATTTAATCACAGCTGGTGCAAGTGGCCTAGGAGCTCCTATAGATTGTATAGCGATGCTGAATCAACGGGTATTTTCTGACTTAATCACACTGTTTATAAAAAAAGAATGTCCTATTCTTAGGAAAATAAACTCAAATAATTAGAACAGTGAAGGCTCATGACTGTGACTTACTTTTCAGCGACTTGGAGGAAAAATAATTTTCATATATAATAGATACAGGATGATGAGTAGCATATTAATAATTAGATTATCTGCGTGCAAAAGATGGAATTTATTGTCGCGACTTTTTTCTAAGATGGATATTGCTTCATAATAAAGTTGCAAAAAAACAGTCCAGAAAAGGAGAGCTATAAGCGAGGGCGTTCTGCCATGCTAGGTGGCACAGGAAGCCAGGGATGACAAATATCCTGCCTTGTCATGTTTGAACTAAAATGAGTCATCTTCTCTTTCAGCTGAAGGACGCTTCTCCTATCTCTGAAGGTGAGCACCACAGATGCTTTGCACATGAGCCCTAAAGGTAAGAAGGGCTTGAGCTAGCGCCCAGCTGGTTGCTTCCCACTGTCCACATCATCCGAGCAAGGATGGGGACTCAGCTATCTGGATTCTCAAAGAGCGTCATCTCAAACCACCCATGTTCACACAGGACACTCTGCTGTCCTCAAAATCATCTTCAAACCTCCCTAGCTCATTGGCTCAGAAAACCTGATATTCGTTCATCTCTTTTTCTTGTTTCTCTCAAAAGCTTTACGTGGATGGTATTCCCTAGTAGCGCAATCGGGCGATGTTTATTTCCTCTTTATAGGTTTCCATACTTGGGAAATTATTTTTGACAATGTCTGTGTGACTTTTATAACCAGCAAGAGATATTGCATCTGCTTGTATTTCTCTAACCAGTTCAGTACAAATTCTGTCACCACTTTCTGATCCTTTTCTCAGACTCCTTAATAGTGTCACTGCTCTGTCACAACCTGTATGACAAATCTTACACATGGCGAGCTGTGTGTCTTCTCCTTCTGCTAACAGCAAGGAAACCCTGGGAGCCGGGACCTGTCAGCAAGTAGGCTATGGAGAAATCATCTGCACAGATGGTCCCTGCCTATGCTGCTGTGGAAGGTGGGCGTACTGTAAGAAAGCAGAGGGGGGCCTGTGTAACTCTGAGGCCTTGCTTTCCCATCCTTCCAGGGAAAGCGAAAATCTCATGAAGATGGGAAATGGACTAAGTTAATGGCTGAGGAACATTCTAAGTGAAAAGGTTCTGAGGTTTCTTTGAGTCACTTCGTGGTGTTTACTAGTTTTCCAACAGTGGTATGGTGACACCCCCTTGAGAGCCATCCCTCACTCTAGTGAAAACTTGCCTGTCCCTTGGACCAAGGTTTCTCAAACTTTGTCAAGACCTTCTGAGTCGAATGTTTTTGTCACGGAGATTCCTCTCTGTATGGCAGTATACTTGGCAACATCAGAGAGAACACCACCACAACCCCAGCTTTAACAACCAGCAGGGTCAAAACATTGCTTAAGGTCCTGGGAAGGAGAAAACCACCCACCCTGGATAGTGACAGTAATGTGTTCAGACATTGCCAAAAGTCTCCTAAGTAGACCAAGATCCTTGTATCAAAAACCACTTTAAGTTACCTCAGCCCTGGCAGGACCTTTTGTCTTTTCATTTAAATGGACTGAAAGTCATAGTGCACAGAGTAGACATTAGGAAATGTCTACAAAAAGGATGCCGTAAGTCATCTAGACACTTTGGGTACAAGAGATCCCTGTGGCATGAATGTCCTTCCCTGGACAGTCCACAAACGTCCAGACCGAGAAATCAGTGCAGCTGGAGTTCTGTGCACTTCCTCCTCCTTTCTGGGCTTCTGCCCTCTGATTTCACGTGGTCTGTGCCACTTAAAAAATAGACAAATTGAGAGCCAACAAGGTTATGCTAAATACTGTAATAATCTTTCCCTTGAGAGGACAAGGAAGCCCAGACAACTGGAGTCTGAACTGTGTTGCAAACACCAGAGAGATTTCCCGGATAATTGCTTATTTTTTACATTTCTGTGTACTTATTTATTTACCACATATCTGTGTAAAAAAGTGTCTCTGACTGACTTTATAAAATTTTTAAGCAGGAAAGCATAGATTCTGAACAGTGTCTTAATTAAAATTCATATTTTCCACTCCAAGCAGTCCAGAGCAGGTGAAGTGTTGGTAACAGATGTGTCTGCGGTTGGAACAAGAGACTGAGGCCCCAAGAGCAAATCCCCAAATACAAGCATTGGTATGCTCTCCACTTGCTTGTCTCTAAGTGTCCCCCAGGGCCCTTTCATCCTTCTGGTTGTCCTTCCATAACATCAGCCCCAGCCCCATGTCCTCCACCCTTTACCCAACCTGGAATTGATATGCAAAGATTATTCTGATGCCAGTGTGTATCAGTGAAAACTCAGGCAGGAACTTGAAAGCAGTTTTAAGACAAGCCAAGACACACAGCAGCACAGCCCAGATTCAACAGGAAAAGAACATCCAGAAACCAATGTTCATAAAAGAATGCAAGAGAAAGAACACTTCCCTGAAAGGTTGGGATTCAAATTAAGAGCAGAGCTTCAACTCTTGTCCAGCACAAAAATATCATAGCCCATTGTGAGCTCTGTAATCTGCTTTCTGGCCTCCAGCTTTTCAGTTATGTCCCAATGGTTGTGCTCATTCCACAGAAAGGCAGAACAAAGCACCAACCTACCTGGCACCTTACATCCTTTTGCAAGAACTCTGACATCCTCCAAGATCTGCCCATTCCAGTTTTTTTTTCCCAGCTCCTGCCCATATACTTGTGACCTTAAATCTTTCCAGATTCCTGAGAGACAAAACAGTTTAGAAGCATCCCAGAGCCCTGGGGAGGATATGCCATCCATTAGACATACCTTGATGTGCATCTAGAGGTCTTTACCCATTATCTTTTTACATATCATACTGATCTGTCCCCTTCCCCAGTTCTTGCCACTTGGGCTTCTATTTTGACTAAAGTGTGGTGTTGTGCTAGTCTGAGTATGTAGACATGTAGTTCACTGGTAGAGCTCTTTCTTAGAATGTGTGAGGCATTGGGTCCAATCCCCAACACAAGGAAAAAGAGAAAGAGCTACACAGTTGCCTACAAGGGTTAAGAACTTAATTTACGCCTAGTACTTGGTTTACGAGATGGACTTTCTTGTGCTTCTCTGAGAGGGCTATGGATTGGAACCTAGGTTAGACTGATTTCAGTTGTAGTAGAGCAACTGAGTACTCTGGCCAACAAATACCTTGCCCCCAGCCACATATGCCAATTTAAATCTGAGTCCATTGAAATCAAATATTAAAGATTCCATTCTTCAGTTATACTGAGTCCGTTTCAAATGTTCAGTAGCTGCATGGACTTAGTTGTCACTTTATTGGACAGGGACCATCTAGACTGCTCCATCATCACGGAAGTTTATACTAGAACAAGCTGGTCATCCCAATGTGGAGTTCTAGAAAAGTGAGACAGCTCAGATAAGCAGGCTCTGGAGGGGGGGGGATAGGATCCTAAAGGGAAAGTGAAAGGATGCATCAGAATGCTTCAAATACTTTAGCAATGATGTCACTTGTGCCCAGCAATGAAGAAATGGACAGCTACTCTACCGCAAGGCTCCAGGAAGCAGAAGTGACTGTCGCTGCCTTTCAGACATATTTTCTCCTCTGTTTGGTCTTTAGATTCTGTGGACTCATGATGAAACAAGAGATTGTCTTCTCAATACTGAGGCAAGTGGGACCCAAAGCAGGGCTCACACTTAGGAGCCAGTGAGTTCCCAAAAAGAAATCAGCACCCTGGTGGCATTAGATCTTGGGGACATATTCAAGAGTCCACTTAGAGCTCGGATTATTCAAATCAAAACAGCAAGGCAAGGAAAAAGAATCATCTCCATTGAGATTTCTGCTTCTATAAAGAGTCCATGGAACACAGGGGCTTTCCAGGGCAATTGTTTTCCCTTAATCACAGCCGCGGAGGAGCAGTCAGTCATTGCCCACTGATGAAAACAGTGGTTTACCCTTACACTGCGCTTTGTAGACAAATAGAGTACTTTCGCCAAAGCCATTCATCTCAGCATCGTGTCCTCACAGACACTCATTGAGGGAAGCAGAGCACTTTAACAAAAAAAAATGAAGGCTCAGAAAGAGAAGGAAACAAGTCAAAATTAACATGGCTGGTGACTATAGAAAACATTCCCCTGTCCTGCCTATAGTTTACAACCTATCAGTTAACACAGGCCATTTAGTGGCCATTCTAGTTGCTAAGTCCATCATCCCCAAGTCTAGGACCTCCCCATAGATGCAAACTCAGCTTGCATCTCACTCCATCCCTGCATAGAGTCTCCCACCAGCTCGCTGACTCTGCCTCGTTCACTCAAACTGCTGCAAGAGGAGAAGAAACAAAAAAAGAGGAGACAAACGCATCACTGCGGAAGCTGGCTGTCCTTCCCAGAGGATCCCTTCTTGCAAGCACTCTTCACTCAAGAACTGCAGAAGGGAAGCGGTGTTTGTCGGTGTGCACACCAGGGCTACTGTCTATCTTCATGGGGAAAGGGAGCAGGGAAGCACTGCTTTCCCAAATATTGTGCCTTGAGATACCCTTAATCGTGGCAGATTTACTTTTCTAGAAACTGAGCCAGAGTGTTTCCATCCATTTGACTTTCAGTAGCCTATAGCCAAATATGACATATTCTCTCCTTTGAATGCACTATCACCCGTGATGTATAACAGTCATTTGCATACTTGGCTACATGGGAGATTGGATTCTAAGTTTTCCTTTAGCACACGAAGATATAGAGAGTAGCTGTGGCCTTTATGTCTAATGACTTCTAACACTAAATCCACCACTGACTAGAAAACACAATAGGAAATAAAATCTAAAGTTCTTTAGATAATGTAATATTGAAGTTGGTGACAAAAATAGAATGATCATTTAAAATTCCCAGTAAGTCATTGGCTCTCACTTCCACATCCAGCATTGCTTAGGCCCAGAAATTTGACTAGGGGAAAACAAGAGAATGACGAGGACTGACATTCATACAGACAATCTGGGGTTAGCTGGGCTATGCACTCTGATTGAATGGCACCAACTACATACATCAACCTGGAAGCTACCCGTGTTTATTATGGACATCATAAAGGGGGGATGCAGCTAGTCTTAGTACAAAGTCTCTAAAGGCAAACTCTCTCACGTTATCAACATCCAAGAGGCGGAAGCTGTGTTGCTGGGTTTTGTCCACACTAATTAATTCGTCTACTTGTATACACTGTCAGTATTTGTATTTGGGTCAGAAGAAAGCTTTTTCATCCCTTGGAGCCTCATCCTAGAGAGTGGAGTCTCTCATTCCAGTGGATCTGAGGAATTGGTCTTTGACATGACTGTGCCCATGTCAAACAATAAACATTCACTTAGTACTTCATCAGCTCCTTACACACTCACTCAAGACTTCCATGACCCCCACACCCTGGCATTGCACCCCTTTCCTTCAG